ACCGGACTATGAAGAGATATCATGATGAGGTTCCGTTCTCGTGCAAAGTTTGTCCAGGACGTCATCGAAACAACATCGAGCAACAACTATCCTCTATATACAGGGGCGAGAATCCGCGTGGAACGCGTGCGATGGGGATCTCGGTTTCCGTGGACATATGGTCAGCCCGTGCTTCACCGCGACAAAAAAAGCGCTACAGAAACGGCGACAGAAGTTGGGAGTGTCGGCGGGCGATATATCAGGGCTTAAACTGTCCCATCGCAGCAAGCATGTCCTACCAGCGTGGTTCTGCGCACCCTGTCTGACCGACTGGATGGTTGGTTGCCTGGTTGGTTGGACGGCCGATCGGCTCGCTGACTGGTGCGCGTATGGCGTTACGTTCAACAAGGGTGCTGGCATTAGTTAATAGCCTGGGTGCAATACTAGGGACACGTTAATGCGAAAGAACGGAAGAGACAGGGAAAGAGGGAGAAAAAAAGAGAGAAGCAGGACAAGGGTGATCGACGTCTAACCAAATGCGGTTTCCAATCTATTGCGTTTTTATGCAGCGCGTCTAACGTGTTCCGGACATTAACGCTTGTATTCCTTTGAGAAACGTCTTTTGTGAAAGAACGAGAAATATCTGTTAAAGGTGCAAGAATACAAGCGAGCTGCATAATTAAGTTAAGTCTGATTTAATGTCTTTGCCAAATAATCAATCTTTCGGTTGAAAGCACCAATTATTTTCCCTAATAATAATAAATTTGAGAAATAAATATTATAATAAATAATTTCTAAGAACGTTAACATTTTAATTAGATATGTAAGAAATCTTGTTCACTCGCTTAACATAATTAAAATATAAGAGTATTGATCAGAGTGGAGGAAGACGAAGAAACGAGCTTAAAGAAACGAGTTAGGATTTGAGCACGGGACGACGAAGCACGATGTGGGGTGGCAAAGGTGTCTGTCGACACAGACCGTAGTCATTATAAAAATAATCAAAGTTTCCTGGAGCAGAAGGCTCGTCGGGATGGATGATGGGTCGCGAAACGTTCCGGCGGCCGGCTTCGACACCGGCGACTGGCGTCTCATTACGTTTGACGATTATGCGTTAATTTGCGCCTAGCGATACTTCAAAAGATTTTTATTCATTGCACGAGCTTTGCCGTCGTCCTAGGCTGGAAGTCGCGCGACGTTCCCAGGTAGCCTCTCGGAGCCTCTCCGTTCCGGCACGGAGACGACTCCTCAAGTTTTATATTTTTCCTGTCTTTCGCATCGAGGATCGAGTGTCCTCGTCAAAGGATCCGGGGGATATGATAATCTCGACGCCACGGTGAATGCGTAACGAGTTTTTCGCCGGCGACGAGAAGTGGACTCGCTCCTGATTAGCTTTGCTTTTACGTACTCTAAGGGATGAGGGCAACTCGGTTTCTCGCGATCGAACGTCCTCGTGGGTTGATTCTTTATGGAAGCGAACGATACCTCGTCTGCTAACGTCGTTTTACCATGCGCTCGGAAAACGTTCAGTTAAATTGCGAGAAGCAGCAATAGCATTTTCTTATAAGCGCGCTCTTTCCGACGTAAGAAAACAGCGTACTTTATTAATTTTCTTTTCATACGAAACTATCGCACTTGGCTTTTGTAAGATCTTCTTGTCAGTGCTATGAGAACGATTTCTCGTACCGGTATTTCTTATACGTATACCTTAGAGAAAGCTAAAAAGTTCTTCAAGTTCTTTCGTATTTCCATGTCATCGACGGTCTTTCTCACCTGCCATCGCGATAACAAGGCTACGTCCGATCATCGGTCGTGCTCGCTTGATAGAGCCACCGATCAAAAATTAACGAAGTGTAAGTGGGATGTTATCGCACGTTTTAAATGCTCTCG